TTGATATGTTTAATTGATTGGTTCAGGGCTAGAGGAAGAATTTGATTTTATTTCTTAACATTCTTGGCCTGTTAACCTCTCAGCTTCATTCCATTTTGTTTGGTCGGTCAGCCAGTCAATAAATCTTCATTGAGTGCCTGTCCAGTGCCAGGCCGAGCCGTGGGGATACGGTTATAAACAAGACAGACAAGCTCCCAGTGGAGCTTATGTCCTCTCTGCCATTCCAGCGGACCCCTGTGTCATGGGCACTGAATCTCAAATTTTTCAATTTTACCTGCTCAGAATCTTTCAGATGCTCTCTACTGCCACAGATGAAGTCTAAGCTTCTTAACTGAGCCTGTTTGTAGAGGACCCTAAATATTTTCTAGCTTCTTCTCTTGCTACTGCTACCATACATGAACCTTCCACTCTGTTCGCACTGGTTGGCTCTCCAGTACCCACCTGCTCCTTTGATTTCTGTCCCCCACCACTTCTTTCTTTCTGTTTTATCTGGAATACCCTTCCCTTTCTCTCTATGCTCCTAGAGTATTACAGTCCATCTCAAGTTCTCCTTCTTTCACGAAACATTGCCCTTGATTCCCTGGGCCACATGGGGCTGTTCCCAATTTGAACTTCTGCCACTGTCACTGCCTCTTACCAGTCATTCAGTTCTTGCCCAGTCCTGGTGGGTATTGTCCATTACTATTTGGTGGTATGTGCTTTCATTTATACACTCAATGATAAGCTTATGGTGGGAGGAACAGTTCAGTCATCATGTTATTTTTTTCAGGGTCTGGCACACAGTAGGTGTCCATGAAGTGTTTGTTGAGAAATGGTGGGTCCTTTTGGTTTCATTTACAAGCTTTTCTGTACCCAAAGATACTGAGATTATCAGATAGCAGAGTGACCTTGGGCTAGAAAACAGGATACTCTTTCCAGTCCAATTTTTCATTGGTCTGTTGTGTTCCTTAAGCATAAATTGAAACTGAAATTAAAATTCTGTTGTTTTATCTGCTTGAGAATTTTTAGGACCTGAAATTAAAATTCTATTGTTTTATCTGTTTGAGGCTATTTAGGAGCTGAAATTAATAGCTTTTCCTTTAGTTATTAAATGGAGTTCTCAGCCAAAGGAACAGGGGACCAAATTAGACTTCCTAATAGTGTTTTGTTTATATAAGGGACACTATCACGTCTTGAATTTTTATTTATTATAAAACTGCATTTCCTGCTTTGAGGGTTCAGCTTTTGCCACAGTATGAAAGGTCCTATGAAATATGAGGAAAGCTTTAGAAAGTACCCTTTGAATGGTAGGTTAAATAGTGCCACCTTCTGTTCATGATGAGAAACACCATTGCCTTTCAAGAGGCCATCTTGTGTTGCTTCTTTGCTTTTAAAGACTACCAATAAGGGCCGGCGGAGTGGTGCGTTGGTTAAGAGCTGGCTTGGGAGGCCAGAGGGCCCCGGTTGGATCCCACATATGAGGGCCAGTGACACACTGCCCTCTACAGCTAAGATGCTGAACAACAGCTCAACCTGAAGCTGGGCTGCCATGAGTTGCTCAGCAGCCCTGTTGCCATGGGCTATCGTGTGTAGCCAGCAGCCAGCGTGAGCAGTGAGCAGTGAGCAGTGAGCAGTGAGCAGTGAGCAGTGAGCAGTGAGCAGTGAGCAGTGAGCAGTGAGCAGTGAGCAGCCAGCAGCCACCGTGAGCGGCTATCCAGAAGCCAGCAAGTGATCTGCCTTGTCCAGGAAGAGCGCAATGATGGTGCCAGCTTGGGTCAGTGAAGCAACGTCCTCCACAACTAAACTGAAGAACAAAACGACAGCAACTTGTCTGTTCCCCTACTCGCAATTCCCCAGCACTGTTCCCATTCCCCAATTCCCCAATAAAAATCTTTAAAAAATAAATAAAATAAAATAAAAATAAATAAAGATTACTAATAAATTTTCCCAAGTCATGGGTAGTCAGCTATTTAAAAATTGGGCAAAGTCCTAATTATAGATTTAAATGATAATAATAATAATAATAATAATAATAATAATAATAATAGTATTGGAGGTTTTATTCATTGAACTGTTTAAAAAGAGTATTTCTGTGATACGTTGTGAGTACGCCTCACTTGAATTATTTAAGATAGAGAGTGAACCCAAGGTTCATGTAGCAGAGGATACTTGCAAGTATCCTAGTAAAAAGCTTGTTGTAAACAATAAGCCAGTAGCTTTGGAAAATAATTATACAAATCATTGACATTTTATAATAGTAAGTTTCTTAATAATAATGTCTAAAGGTAATTGTAGAAAAAGAATTCCCCTTAAAATATTTAAAAATTTTATAGCATGAACATAAGTTTTCTTAAAAATAACATTATTTTTAATATTTTTTCTTGATTAAGACCAAACTCTTTATTCTCACGGCCTGCTTAGGAGAAAGGGGACACTCTTTTGTAAACTGGAAACAGTATCCTGATGGGCTAATGTGCCTCAGCTGATGTCCCATGAGCTGAGTCATGGAGCAGGACTGTGAAAATGTGACGACCTATGTGCCAGCCTGAGCCCTTTATGTCCAAGGCTGCCCTCAGGTGTTTTCTTTTTCCCTTCTAATATGTTTTATTTCTGTTATTTAAATCACAAACCTCATATATCTTCTTTGTAACAAGGAATACAGGAATATCTAAAGTAGTATTGAGGGCCGGCCGAGTGACGCGTTGGTTAAGAGTTGGCTTGGGATGCCAGCTCTGAGCAGCACGTCCCCGGTTCAAATCCCACTTGAGGGCCAGTGATGCTGCGCCCTCTACAGCTAAGATGGTGAACGACAGTTCGACCTGGAGCTGGGCTGCCTTGAGTCACCGGCGACAGCGTAGGCTGCAGTGGGGCTGCAGTGGGCTGCTGTAAAGCTACCATGAGCGGCTTGCAGCCAGCGTTAGCGGCCGTGAGCCACTGTGAGCCACCGTGAGTGTCCAGTGGCTGGTGACTGACTGCCTCAGCCGGGAAGAGCACAATGATCACAATACCAACATGGCCAGTGAAGCGGCGTCCTCCACAACTAGACTACAGAACAAAAGGACAGCAACTTGTCTGTTCCCCTTCCCTGATTCCCCAGCACTGTTCCTCTCACTCCAATTCCCCAATAAAATCTTTAAAAAATAAATAAATAAAAATAAAGTAGTATTGATAGTGTCCCCCTGCCACTCACCACTCTACCTTTCTGCTGAAATGACTGCCAATTTCTTATAGTCTTCCATACCTTTTTATTCTGCTTAATCAAACATGCATAAACATAAATATATATCTGTGGGTTGTTTTTTTTTAGTTGTTTTTTTTTAAATTGGGAATTGGGGGGTGGAAACAGCACTGGGAAATTGGGGGAAGGGGAACAGACAAGGCGCTGTCGTTTTGTTCCTCAGTCTAGTTGTGGAGGACGTTGCTCCACTGGCCCAACTTGACACCATCATTGCACTCCTCCCGGGCAAGGCAGATCAGTTGCCAGCCTCTGGATGGCTGCTCATGGCGGCTGCTGGCTGCTCACGCTGGCTGCTTGCTATACATGGTAGCCCATGGCATACGAAAAAATAAAATAATTGTATGACTATTATTCTGTAATTTAATCTTTTCACTTAACATGTCATGGACCAGTTCCCAGTCTGTCTCTCTCTCTCCATAAAATACACACACACACACACACACACACACACACACACACACACACACACAAATATATATACACATATATAAATATATATATACATATATGCATATATATATTTTTTTCTTGGTACTATTAGTAGTCCAGGGCATGAATATACCATAATTTATCTAATCATAGCCTTATTGAATTATTCATAGGTTTTCAGTTTTTTACTTTTATAAAAAAAAGTCCCAATAAACAACATTCTTGGACATCTATCTTTAGGTGCTGGTACTTTTAAGTGTGTTAGATTCTCACAAGTAGGACATCTGGGTCAAAGAATGTATGTTTCTAACTTAATTTAGCTTTTTAAACTTAGCTTTTCAAAAAGTCTTTATTAATGTCCTCCAGTACTGCATTGTGACCCTAAAAAGTGACATTTTTTCAGGTGGTGAGTCCTTGGTGTTAGTTCTCTGCCTGGGAGAGCTCCCTCTGCCCTTTGTGGCAGAGGAAGAGAATGGCCAGTGAATACTGTTTTCTAGGATGTGATTACCCTCTTAGCCAAACAGCAAGAACTGTGTATTAGAAATAATGCATCCATTCTAGAAATCTATGTATTTCTCAGCTAAGGCAGGACTTGTCCCTTTCTTGATTTTAGTTACACAGGATCAGGGCAAAAAATGCATTTCTTCAAAGTCTATTATCATTGAACCCTGTTTGCACTAGGATACCCCCACTTCTCGTATACACAATTATGGTAATGAAAATGATCGACAAGCCCTTTTAATAGGTCTCTAGATTTAAATAAGGTGGCTGGAGGACATGCCTTGAGATTTAGCATCTGCCTGCCCTCTTTTCATTGTATTCAGTGGTCCTGCTCAAGGTTTAATTGGATGTCTGGGGCATTCTTGCAGACAAATTAGAATGATGCAGCCATTCCTATTTGATGATGTGCTTAACTGCAGTAGAATACTGGGAGATACCATAATTTGACTTAAAGACCTTTTTGTTGACAGCTATGCCTGCTGATATTCTTCTGCCTACCTACAGGTTGTAATGTTGGGTATTAAATCAGGGGAACTCGTCTGTCGCAGAATTCCATATTTGCTTCCGCATCTGTGACTGGGAGCTGTGAGAGAAACCTCCAGAAGTGTTTATCCATAGAATGCTCCTTCCCACCTCAGAAGATGTTTCCCACATCAACGGGTTTATGTTGAATATAAGCTCAGCACGTGTGTCTGAAACCACATAGCTCAGCACAGTGCACCAGGGAGGGACTTAAAACATGTTATATTTCTGCCATGACTTTAAACATTTTTGTGGACTTTCATGAAATGTTTTGGTTGTTTCATGTCCTGAATGTAACTCTGGTGACTCGGTGATTTGCTGTCCACGGCAGCTTAATGCCATGGCCAATCGCGCTGCAGGGAAAGGCTACGAGAATGAAGACAACTATTCCAACATCAAGTTTCAGTTTATCGGGATAGAGAACATCCACGTCATGAGGAACAGTCTGCAAAAAATGCTGGAAGGTAAGCCATTTCCTTATGCACAGAGTTAAAAACAATGCAGTTAAATGTTTTAATGCCAAAACGGAATAAGATAGCCTTTTGATTTTAAAATTGTGTTTTTACCATGATGCTGTTTACATCGGTAGGATAAGTTGGGAAGAATATCGTATGGTAGCGACTCTTTAAACATTTAACAGCCTTTCTCGTATTTTTGGTGTCACCAAAAGTGGTTTTGTCACTTGGTTAGTGGTCAGGCACTTTCCAGAGGTACGTAACATCTGAGATAAAAGCTCACAGGGATATTTTTTCTTTTTCCTTTATAATATTAGTTTGATCCACATTCAAGGCCATTTGGATATACAGCAATCCTCCAGTTTAAGCAGCAGCCCACTGATCTTGTATGGGGATGAGGTTCATAAACTGAGTCTGAGCTGAATGGCCATTAGAAGGGAGGATGTTCAAGGTCCCTGTCCTCATTTTTAAACAGCAGTAACCATGGGAATGCGCCCACACATAAACCACCCCCACTCACCCCACAGCCATGTTCACCACGACACACACACACACACAGACGGACATACTCACCAGAAAGGAAATTACAAAGACTGATTATGTAACATAGAAGAGGCATTCATGGGGCCAAACCAGCCATAAGCTGGTTAGCAGAAATTCTGCATTTCAAGCAAAACCAGCTTCACTGACTGCTCATGCTCCTTGTGATGACAAAGGCCCATGGAGGAATCTGCTACCGTGGTCCACCACTTCTAGCTCTAGTGGAAACCAAAGAGAAAGAGGAAGATTTGTGCCTTGGGAACCTGGAGAGGTTGTCAATGCTGCACTTGCACTTGAGGGGAAAGCCCTGTAGACAGGGAGCTGAGTGGTAGGAAAGCAGCTGTCTGAATAGGAAATGTGGGGTCTGGAAGGAACAAAGACAAAGAGAGTGCTGAGTGATTTTTTGCAGGAGACACATTTGCCCTCAGTGACTTAGGCCGTTCTCTGCTTGATCAGATCAACAGGGCATAGTGAGAGCCTGACAGTGGGGCTGGAGCAACTTGAGTGTCACAGACAGGTATCATTTCCATTCTCTTTCCTGGATTCCCTGGGTCATCTCAGTCATTGTGAAACTTTGAGCGCATCTGTTACTTTCTCTGGGGCTCTGCTACCTGCTGTAACATAGAGGATTGGACTAATGGCTTCTTCCAGCCGTGACAGCCTGTGAAATCTACAAATTGATGCTCCTAGTTGCAAACACTTCAACATTGAGCATTTGAATGGTTAAAAGGAATCTCTTCCTGCATCTGAAAAAGTCATGGCCCCCAGAGGCCACTCCATCTTACTTCCTCAGGAAATTTGCCTCTTCTCAGGTCACCATAACGGTACCTGGGCCTGATTGTTTGAGCTTCTTAAACCTCTGGAGATTATCCTGGGCAGTTTGCTTTTTAGGAGTCGAAAAACTGGATTTGCTTGGTTCTGTTCTTGCAAGGATAGTCTAATTCTAGTATGAAGACTGTTCATCATGATCAGAAGCATTAAAAAATATATAGATTGCTGTGCTTTATATGTTTCATTTCATAATTTCATAACCTGACTTTCGAGAACATATATTTTCTTCTATGCAGAAAGCAGCTCCTTAAGAGTCCTTATAACATATCATTTTGACTTTAGATTTTAAGTGAGCATTTGTTTGGTTTCTTATTGGGGACCATCTCTGGACCTTCTACCTATGGTCTGCCTCACTGTTTCTAAAGGAGGTCCAGAGGGCAGGTCCTTCTCTGTTTTATAAGGGATCACGGTGCTTCTGCATCACTTTTCCAGTTCTGTGTCAGTGCAATGAGCAAGGACAGCTTTCTGGATGCCTTTCAGGGAACTTGACCAATGTTTGACTATGTGTTTTTACCAAGTAAATTATAAACCACTGTGAGGCCTCAGCTGATGAAGTGATGCAAGCAGACCCACCTTCTGAGTTGCTTCCTCCTTTGAACAAGCCATCCTTGGCATTAGAGACTTGACTGCTGGTCACTTGGGAGGAAGAGGAATAGTACATTTCATTCATGATTATTATCTTCCATCTTTTTTTTTAGCACTGTTATTGATATTATTAAAATAGATACTGAGTAACAGGACAATAATTGTTTGCATTCCAGCTGCAAATAGTTCTGTCTGTGATTAAGAGCTGCGGGATATTTCATCAGAAACGGTAATCTAGGACCAAGCTCATATCCTGTGTAGGTCCTTTGATTTAATTTTATTTGATTTATAAGTTCTAAATCAAACTGTTTTGTAGTAGTCATACTTGCTAATCAGATAATGACTCCTTTTAGTAATGTAGCAGTTTTATAATTCATCAAGTGCTTTCCACAGTAGCGTCCTTTTGATTATATAGATAATTGGTTTTTCCCTCAAATAAGAAAAGGATGCCATATATATATATATATATATATATATATATATATATATATATATATATATATATATATATATATATATATATATG